GCGTGCCCAAGGTTTACAGATTTGGGGCAGAAATCCAGCAAGCAGAGTCCATACAGGGTTGGAGGGGGCTCCTCCGGGCACCTGCGAGTGGCTGGCTCTTCATGAGAACAGTGTTTCCCATGGACCAAAGACTGATGTCATTTCTCTGGGTTTGGTTAATCCTCTAAGGATATCTTACCCACCCCCACCCACCCCCAGCCAGGGGGACAAGGACACACAGCTCGGCTCACATGCAGCACACCCAGTTAGGGATCTGACTGAAGCTCCTCTTGCCCATTTTGAAATCCGATTTGTCAGTGGTGACCATGGCTGTCTGCTGGCTGTTAGCCCTGACTGCATTGTGACTCACTGACCTTTCAGGTGTGACTGGTCCCCAGCCTTTGCTGGCATCTTGTTGGCTGTTAATCACATTGTGTTCTCTTTGATCTTTGTTTATGTTCCCAGGTCATAGTTTTTACCATGAATATTTCTCTTTATTGCTATGTACACCTAGCTCCTGCCTCTAGAGGCACAGTTGGAAGCCTTTCAGAGATAAAGTCTCTGCTTCTTCATTGTCCCACATCTTTAATGAGAGACTCACAAATCATGGTAAGCCCCAAAACATCCGTTAGATGTACTTTAGTCTACAGTCCCTATTATTAAGTTTGTGGCTGTAATATATTTTCTGAATATAATTCATTCAAGACAATAGTTGACAAACATTTCAAAGGTCTTCAAAGCTGTAAATACAACAATAAGACTACCTTACATAATATATGTTGTAATAAATCAAAAATCATAAAACAATACTAAAGATAAGAATGCAGGCTAAATTATGATATACGTTGTGTCTGTGTTGGAAATGTGAATATAAAATGGAAATAGCCGATGCTCGGCCTCTGGAGGAGGTCCACATGGCCCAGCTTGAGCTGCAGTAGTGGTCAGGGCTGCTTGAAGAGATTCCAGCCCCTTTAAGGCCTTTCCTTTTTATTGTTTCCAAGCTACAATTTGTTGCTCCTTTAAAAGGGAAAGATAGTATGAGAAGAAAGAGAGAAAACTCGGAAAGGTGCAGGAACCTTATCTCATTTATTTTTTATTTTTTTATTTTACAATACAATTCAGTTCTACATATCAGCCACGGATTCCCTTGTTCTCCCCGCTCCCGCCCCCCTTTCCCTTCTCCTCAGCCCATGCCCCATTCCCACCTCCTCCAGGGCAAAGCCTCCCCAATGACTGAGATCAACCTGGTAGACTCAGTCTAGGCAGGTCCAGTCCCCTCCTCCCAGGCCAAGCCAAGCGACCCTGCATAAGCCCCAGGTTCCAAACAGCCAACTCATGCAATCAAACAGCCAACTCATGCAATACCTTATCTCTTTTTTAACAGAAAGGGTTCAGCTGGAATAACCGCACAGGTTCCCCAACGTCTGAGTAAAAATATCTGTGCAGGCCCATAGCACCATCTACCGGCCGTTAGGTGGAACGACAACTTCCTGATCCCTTTGTGACCTGGTGGGTGGGATCCGAGTCAGGGATGGATGGGCACCCACTGAAGTTTCCAGGTCACTGTGTCCAAGGAAAAAAAGAATTGTAGCAGACACAAATGACAGTTTATTAAGAAAGGTGGTGAGCTGGCGAGCTTGTCCTTTACACAGCATCTCACTTTTCTTGTGCATGCGAATTGCAGGCTTTCCAGGAGAACACTCTACGTGTTACAGGTAGTCTGTCAGCTGGCTTCTTTCACATGTTCATCTTGATGCCTCTTCCTCCTCCCCACTTCTCTCTCCTCCTGCCACACCCTCCACTTCCAACTGTGGTCCCAGAAAGTTTTCGGGAGTAGAAATGTGATGAGCAATTAATTTTCTGAAACTTCTCCCGGGCTAATGATGGGTACAACCCCACCTAAGAGGTTCTCCCCAGACTCACTCTACTCTTGATAGACTGGCTGTAGTAGGAGATGGCTGGAATGCCTTCCCTACTAGGAGTTTAGTTTGCAAACATTATATACCTTAGAAGACACAATTTTTACCAGATTAGAATATAAGGTTTAAGCAAAAGTAACATGATTATGCCAACCAATGACTCTAAAGCCGTTGTTGTATATTGCTCTCAAGGACGTGCCTTAGGGTTGTTAAAACAAAAACAAAACAAAAAATAAAACATAGTGATGGTTATACATTAGTTATTATTAATTATTATATTAATTATATTAATAATGCAGAAAAACAGTTGTAAGGAGGAATCCAATGGTGGAAAAAAAATGAAAAACAAGACAGTAAGAATTTTAACCATTAAGTACCAATAGTGTCAGAAGAACAACGAGGAAAACAAAGACATGGGCAAATCCCTGCATTCTTTGTGTTGTAGCTGATGAGTGTGAGTCACCTGCCTGGCTTGTCAGCAACCTATGCCCAAGCCTGAATGACATATTGCCCCTTTGAAAAGCCTAGTCCACTTTTTCATTTTGTTTTCTTGTTTATCGTTTTCTTTGGGGCTATACTTTTCCTGAGGGCGTTTAAGATGAAGTGGGTGCCAAAAATAATCATAGTTCTTGATCATGCTAAGGTCCATGGAGGCTGTTTAGGGGATCTCCTGGGGGACTCAGAAGGAGCCCCCAGGCTCCTTTAGCACTTGTGCTGTCTGGTGGGATGGGTCAGGGTGTGGCCGACCACATGCTTTCCCTCAGAATCACTGAGGACATTGTTTTCTGTGTTGACGCTCCTCCTCTGTGTTGTTGGGAGCCAGGCAGATCCAGGGCTTCCTCAGAGGCCCTAATGAAAGGACAAAGAGAACACTAGTTCCCTGTCTTTGCAGGGGGGGGGGGGTAAATTTGGCAAGGACCAGCCTGAGTCCGGGGCCAGGATCTTAAAGTTTAGGTTTGGCGTCCTGGGAGAGAACTTGGATTAGATTTCCACTAAAGAGACTGGAGTCATCAGTCTGTGTGTGTTCAATCTGTGATGAACTTGAGATATCCTGTGTTCCCTTTGTGCAACATTGCTTAATCTGCCTCTTGCTGACTTTCTCCCATTGTGTGATAGCTTTCTGCTGACTCTGTCCCATTTTCCCCTGTAAACTACATCTAAGGTGCTGCACTTCTTAATAAGCTTGCTCAGCATAAGACATAGCTTGTGTAAGACCTCTTGGTCCCGAACTTTCCCGTCTTCTTTATTTTCTGATTCCTGACCCTTCCTCTCAGGATCCTGTCACAGAAAGAGAAACTGCTAGTCTAGGTCACCCTGTAGCAAATACATTGGTTCAAGTCTAACATCTGTGCCCTTGAAGCCAGACAGGGCAGAGGTTCCTCCATCTTGTTTGTAATTCTTGCTGAGGCCATTCCAGGTTTTTTAACTAGAACCTGATCTCCTTGATGGAGAATCCCATGGAAAACTACCCACCTCTATCTAGGAACCAAAGATCAGGCTGTCCCAGCTAACTTATCTTAGCCTTTGTCAAAACTGCCTGTTTGTGCGGAACTCTGCAAAGCACCCCCCCCCCCACTTCGCAGTTACTGAGCAATATGCCTGGACGAGGTCTCTGCCCTTAAAAACCCCGTGTTCTAGACACTCAGGGCCATTACTAGATCCCTGAACATTTGGATGTGGTTCCAACCAGCTGGAGTAGACTTTCAACTGGCTATATACACTGTGGTGAGCTCCCGGGAACACCTTTGACCTCTTTGAGCAAGAATACAGGTGATCCACCAGAGCTATGTGTAATAGTCCCCAAGAAACTGTAGGATTCCTTTTCTCCACCCCTGCATTCTTTACCGTTGACTCTCTTTAGGAAGTGTAGAGCCCAAGGCAGTCAGTTGAGCAACAGAACAAGAACTGCCTTGAGGACCCTCCAAATCCCTGGTTCAGATTCCTTTTCCTCCCTGGTAACTCTCTCCCAGGCTCTTACATAGAGTTCCACGTGATAGGGGGTCTGTAATGCCTCACATGCATGAGATGATCCTGTCACATGGGAGACAGTGGCACCAAGATCCAAAACCCTTTTCCCACCTTGATGAAGCCAGTGCTGCAGGGAGGTCAGGGCTTCGTTATTCTTGAAAACTCTGTTTAACTCTTAGAATGTTAACGACTTATCTTCTGTGTTTCTAATGTGGTTTATCCGGGTAGTCTTTAACAAATAGGAGTGTGAACTGAAGTGCTGAGAAAAGCTAGCCCTATGTGATGGTCAGTTTCAAAAGTCAACTGTGTGTGTGTGTGTGTGTGTGTGTGTGTGTGTGTGTGTGTGTGTGCTGTATGGCCATGTGGACACTGGTGTGCTTGCTTATATGGGTACGTGTGAAGGCCAGACATCACCATGTCTTCCTTGCTTCTTCTCTTAGTTCTGAGTTCACTGGTTCAGCTGGTCTAGCTGGACAATGAGCCGCAGGGATCTGTCCATCTCCACTCCCCACAACTGAGCTTATGGGTACAAGTGGCCAATGCCCAGCTGTTAAGCTGTTTGCACAATTTGAGGGCTTTTCTAGACCAAATTCTTCCACATTGCTCTCACAGACAAAAGGCCCATAAACCACGGGGTCAGGCTTATCATGAGAGCAGTCCCATTTCTCAGAACCAATTTCAATCTTAATTACTATTCCTGCGGCTGTGACCTAGCACCAGGCAAGAGGCAGCTTTAGGGAGAAGGGGCTTACTTCTGGTTACAATTCAAAGGGATGCAGCCCATCAGGAAGGAGGCGGCATGGAGGCAGGGACATTGGGCTGATTCTCAGCTTGCTGTCTACTTTTTATGTGGTTGCAGACCCCAGGCCATGGCGTCAGGCCATGCTCACATTTAGAGTGGGTCTTGTCACCTCAATGAACCTAATCCAGAAAATCCCTTGGAGACATGCCTGGAGACTTGTTTCCATGGTGATTCTAAATCCCATTTGGGGTGGGAGAGACCCCATGGAACCTCACTGGTTATAGCCCTTGGTGCACAAGCGTGGGTGCTACTCGGGAAACCGTGGTTCCCTTTTGGGTTCTTAGACTCAATTACAAAAGAATTTGTCAACAAACTCAGAAGCTCGAGGATGATTTTATTAGAACTTGAGATGAGAACAGGCGTTGAAAACCCTGACAGCTGCAGGAGGAGAGATGAAGGAAAAACCAGGAATGGGATAAACATGGACACTCTGTAAGAAGTGGGCTAGAGAGATGGCTCAGTGGTTAGGAGCACTGGCTGCTTTTCCAGAGGACTCAGGTTCAATTCCCAGCACCCACATGGCAGTTCACAACTGTCTGTGACTCTTGTTCCTGGGGATCCAATACCCTCTTCCTGTTCCCACCGGTATGATAGACACACAGGTGGCACACAGACATACATGCAGACAAAACATACATACATACAAAATAAAAATAAATCTTAAAACAGAAAGAAAGCAAAAGCACTCCTAAGAATGGAAGTAAGCTGTGGATTGAGAAAAGAGCCTAGACACATATGTGTACATGTATGTACACAGGCCCACAAAAGTAAATATGTTCATACAGGACTACATAGCTACATAATTATGCAAGTGCACACACATGTGCATGGGCAATTAACTACACATTGGCAGAAGTGTGCAAATGCATGCGTATATGCACACACATAAAAACATGTTCACAGAGGCACACACACATAGGGAGAGACACACACAAATGCACACATGTACATGTGTACAGATCTGTACCCATAGGGACACATACACAGACACACATGCATTCACACTTATCTACATAGAAACATACATGAGTATTTACACACATTTATACATTAATGTTCACATTGGTTCACACAGTCACATACCTTTATAAGTACACTGTAATCGGAGTTTCCTTTGGGCAGCCAGCTCAAAAATAATGAGTACCTCTCTTCCATCTTGCACTTCCTATTTTCTCTCCCTATCTGGCTGGCAGCTCCTCTTTTCTTCTTCCAAGAGGCCTCTCAGTCCCTGGAAGTCCCACCTAACCTCTTCCTGCCTAGCTATTGGCCGTTCAGCTCTTTACTATACCAACCACAACAATACATCTTCACACAGTGTAAACAAATATTCCACAACAGTACACCTATGCATTGAGCACAGAGTACACAAATATGTTACCATGCACCCATCTATTTACATATGCCCACACAAGTACACAGTCTACCAAGGCACACATACGTACACACATTGAGTGTGCATGTTGTACATACACAGGCACATAGGCATGGGGTGAGCCCTCAACCATCATGTTCCCGGTACCTTGGAAGAGCCTTGAATCCCTGCATTTACCTTCTTTCACTGCAGTCTTCTCTGGTTAAGGCTGAGAGCATCATGTGATCATGGTATAAATACAAACATCAAAAGGCAGTCTGATGCTGTGTCAATGTAGCTGAACAAGCATAGTGAATTCCCCACCAGGCTTATGACCTCCACAGACAAGAGCCTTTCACCAGTTCAGGGTACAAAGTGACCTCAAATCCAATCATGGAGCAATCGCTTATTCACACACAGGTGTGTTACTATTGCACAAATGGGTACATCCTGCCTGGCAGGTTGGTATTGTAGCTTAAAGGATTCACATCAGAATAAGCCCATTAATACATTTCACAGCGGCCTGGACAGCATCTTCCACCCTGGGAAAGCTACCCAGCATGGAGGACGCTTCCAGCGCAGTTCCAGGTTGATATCTCTGCAGCTGCAACCAAAGCGTGTGATTTCTTCAGTGACAGGATCTTATCAGCTCCTTCTGGCATGCAACCAAGAAGACTAGCAGGAGCTCTGGGGCCTGTATGACCTACAAGTCTTAAGGAAGTGTCTCATATCCAGACCTGGAATTTGTTCGGTAACCTTTGGCTTTCAGGAACACAATTACCCAGTCATGCTGAACCTCCCCCTTGTAAATCTCTTTTATTTAACTTATATTTTTAATTGGCTTATAAAGTAGCAAGCTTCTGTGTTTTTCATACATCTTTAGTTTTGATTGGTCCCCCCCCCCACGCCACATCTCTCCTTTCCCTCATACCCATCCCTGCTTAAGTTTTCCACCTCCCCCTTTCCTCCTTCTCTGTTTTCATCTCACCTGTGTTATGCTAACCCGCTCCCTTGAGGCATCTCCAACTCCAACAGCCCTTGAGTAGCTTCTGTACTCCAGGTTAAACACACAAATCTTTGAGCTAGGATTCACTATGAGAGAGAGTATGGGGAATTTCTCTTCCTCTGCCTGGGCTTTCCTGCTCAGTATAATTTATCTAGTTCATCCATTTATCTGTGAACTTGGCTCACTTTTCGTTACAGATAAAAAAAAAATTCTATTGTGTGGATGTACCATATTTTCATTATCTGCTTACCAGTGGAAGGACAAGTGAGAAACTACTTTCATAAAAAGAAGAAAAGCATTCTCATGTACCCAGTCGTGCCTCAGACTCTCTATGTAAATGATGACCTCAAACTTCTCATGCTCCTGCCTCCACCTCCAGAGCGTATGTACCACTGTACCCAATTCATATGGCACCAAAGCTTAAACCAAGGCTGCCTGCATGCTAGACAAGCACTCTCTACCTGTGGGGGGCAAGACTGGAGACTGTCCAGAGGCCCTGGTGATGGGATGCAGGCATTTTGCTCCTCTCCTAGTCAGGATCATACCACACAAGGCCAGCTGGGTACTGGTGCCAGGGCACCAGGGGCTGGGGGGTGCGGGGTGGTGTAGTCCCCGTATGTATGTGTCAAATGCTTTGTCTGCAAACCCAGAACGTGCCTCACTAAAGGGGAACTTGAGATATCTTGAGTTCCTGCGTTTCTGTTATCTGATTTTATCTTTACGGATTTGTGTTCTGCTTCCCCATTTGAGGGGTATAAAAAGGCACGCCATTAACCGAGTTGTCCGCCTGGCTCATCAGCTTCCGCAGACACCCCCCCCTCCTGTCAGCCGCCTTTGACGCTTTCCTTCCTTTCATCATCTGTTTCTTTTCCATCCCCGGCCCTCCCCTTCGGGACCCGTCCAGCACGGTGATATGGCTGGTCTTGGTCACTACCATCTGGGCTCCCTTTCTTTTTTAATAATTAGCTTATTTTAGCTCTTCTACTCAATGAAGTATGAGCCTATCGCATTGGAAAAACGCAGGTCCATATTGTGTAGCCCGCCCCCAAGTCATTTTTTTTTCTGAAGCTTCCTCATAGCTTGAATCTGTTATTTGTGTATTTTTTTCACTTATGAATTTTTGACAAAAACCATAGAAAAGATGTTAAGTTCTTATTTGCCATATTCAAAAGAACTGTTATCTTTCCCGCTGCTTGCGGCACAAGGATCATGTTGTTAAAACAGTAAATATCAAGTTTTATGTTAGAAACATCTTGGAAGTTTAAGTGTTGTGTGAAAGTGTCCTATGGGATAGAAAACTAAAAACTACATAATGATCTGATGTCTCATCAGATTTTCACGGGTAACTCTAGCATCCATTAATGATTATTGCCTGAAATATTATTGCTGTGAATCTGCCCATGCTTATTTTTCTAAATCTGTAACTCCTCCATGTTTTAGCTAGATCTACTGGAAGGAAAATTCAGCTCTTGATTTACACAGCACAGACTCAAACTACACTGTAATTCCGTAATTTATTACCAATGTATTGGCTTGAAGTATCTCAAGTTTGATTGGTAGGACTTATTGATGCTGGGCTCTGAGTCTTTTGAATACGTCCCTGTCATTTTTAAGTACTTATTTTCTGAAACCCTTAATTTCTGATACTTGGGAACATTTCTCATGCTCATCTATTTTTCCTGCTTCCCTTTTGAAATCGGCTTTCTTCAAGGAATCCTAATTTCGTTCACTGTAGAAAGGCATTTAGAAATAAGAAACTTGGGTCTGGAGAAATGGCTCAGATGTTAAGAGCACTGGCTGCTCTTCCAAAGGACCTGGGTTCAATTCCCAGCACCCACATAGCAGCTCACAACTGTCTGTAATTCCAGTTCCAGGGGAATCTGGCAACCTCATACATGTAGGCAAAATACCAATGCACATAAAATAAAAATAAATTATTTTTAAAAAAAGAAAGAAGAATCTTAAGGTACTCAATTTCTCTAGTGTTTTCAAGGCAGGTGTGTGTGTGTGTGTGTGTGTGTGTGTGTTAATTATTAACTTCATGTGCCAACTTGTACTCACAAAAGGGCTTCCCAGATAGCTAGTAAAACTATTTCTGGCTGAGTTTTGGAATGTTTCTAAACATTTGAGTCAGTAGTATAAATAAAGAAGATAAACCTCACAATGTTGGCAGCCATCATCTAATCCTTTGAGCACCCCCCTAAAAGGGTGAACAGACGGACAGAGTGGATTCGTGTTCTCTTCTTACACTGAGACATCCCTCTTCTGTTCTCGGTAGTCAGAGCTTCTGTCTGGTTTGAAAAGGATCCAAGAAGTTTTGAGTATAAGTATGCTATCAATCACTATAGTACCAGCAACAAGTCCTTGAGGAGAAAAAATCAGGTAACACAGTTAATAGGAATATGAGCAATTTTATACATAGTTTGTTCACAATGGTGATATATAGTAGTTCTAAGGCAAGTTAAAGAAAAAAATAGAGAATGGATTGCATTGTTTATAGTGTCCTTGAGCCTTAAATTCAACAAGACAATGTTGTTTTCCAGACTTCAAAGAAACAGCAGTGTTGAGCCGGGCAGTGGTGGTGCACACCTTCAATCCCAGCACTCAGGAGGTAGAGGCAGGCAGATCCTGTGAGTTCGAAGCCAGCCTGGTCTATAGAGTGACCAGGAAAGGCTCCAAAGCTACACAGAGAAACCCTGTCTCAGAAAAAAAAAGAAGAAGAAGAAGAAGAAGAAGAAGAGGAGGAGGAGGAGGAGGAGGAGGAGGAGGAGGAGGAAACAAACAAACAGCAGTAAAATATTTTAAATATCCCAGTGCTCAAATAAGATCAATGAGTTTCAGAAGAGGACAGACATTACATTGTGATTATATTGACAACCTCAGCACTAGTGTAAGGTAGTGCATGCATGTGGACACCCTGAGAAGTTTCTGCATAAGCAAATCACTGCTTTTTCTGCTATTCTAGTAAGTATCAGGCAAACAACACATGCAAGTATAAGTGGACATGAGCTTATTCTCATTACTTTTGGGAGAGCTTAAAGAATGCCCTACCACTAGAAACTAATTCTGATGATGGTAGCTTGCTAGAAACAAACACCTTTTGCTTCAACTGCATGTAAAAGTCTTTGCATGTGGAATCTGCTTTAAAGTATCTCAACACCAAGACCAAGAAAATAGATGAAACAATGGATTCATAATTGTTGCCAGCCTCACCGCCTGTATATTATAGAACAGTCTATAATTAAAACACTACACATTAATGTGGTTATTTTAGGTGAATCGATAACAGAAAAATATTAGAAGATGGCATGCCGAGAAAGTACAATTTCAAAGGAACTGAAAATAACTTGCATGAGGAAAATCAAAAGACAACATCGTTACTACTTAAGGAGACGAAAAGGAATCTCTTACCTAGAAATAAAAAATTCACATTTAAAAAAAAGAGAAATTTCAAATATTACATGAGACAAAAGTGTGATTATTTATTTCTATTTAAAGGAAATGATTCTTTATTACATATCTTTTTGAAATACATTTAAAACCAAGATGTTCACTGACATAAATAAATATAAATAGATTTCTCTCAATATTACAAAAGAATAAGATTTACAATTTGGCTATGAACATAGCACTGCAGAAGTACAGAATCTTTTCATGTCGAGGTTATGATAGCTCTGGACACTATTAATGACCAGTCAGTGAGGACATCTTCCTAAGGCTTTTTCACTGGAGAAAACAAAACAAGAAAGGATTTCCCTGAGAGCAAAACTGTAGCTTATCCTTCTTGAAAGCAGTGAACTATCTCTGACCCAGACCTGTGCATGTGAAGGGAGATTAATTTGTACCCACCTATTTCTTTGCTATCAATCTAGTCAAAAGGCTTAATGTTCTTTTTTTTCTACCTATCATCTATCTATCTATCCACCATCTATCTATCTATCTATCTATCTATCTATCTATCTATCTATCTATCTATCTATCTATCTATCTATCTATCGATGATGTTTGTTAAGACAGAGTCTCAGGTATCCCAGACTGGCCTGAAACTCAACAGGTAAACAAGAACAACCTTGAATTTCTGATGCTCTGGCCTTCACCTCCCAAGTACTAGAATTATAAATGTGTGCTGAGGAAGGAGCCCAGGCATTTACGAATGTTAGGCAAGCTCTCTACCAAGGGAGCTACCTTCCCCATCCCCCTGCTGGGTTGTTAGTATGCTCTTCCTTTGGAACAGTTTGCCAACTCATTTTCATGGAAAGTCCAAAGGAAAACACCTTCAGGTCAAAGGTTAAATTAAGATGTTCCATCTCTGTGGCAATTCTGCTTAGAAGAAAGGGGATTTAGTTTGGGGTCTGTGTTCTTTTACAATCTAATTCGTATTTTTTGCTTTCTATTTTCATTGTAAGCTAGAATAACATGATAGATCTAGCAAAAGAAATAACAATTTCCCTTTCTCCAAACTCCCATTCTAAGCACAGAAAAAAATCTCTACATTTTCCCACACTTTTGGAAAAGTGACGATTGTTATGAATTTTCTAGTTTTGAAATATTTTCGAGATATTTCTGTAGATCAAGAACACCATTCCAGACAAACTCCTTTCTTCTTGTTTTGTTAACGTTCCTAACACAGCTTAAAGACAACTGATAGTATGCCAAAGCAAGAACACTATTCAATTTATTACATCCATTCTTCCTGGACATTCTAACAAACTAGAAGTATGCGGTATGGTTGTATATATTTTCTTCTTAACTCTTCTTTGGCTAAGTCAACTGGCCAGTGAGCAATAGCATCGCATGCAAAACTGTCAAGGTTATTAAACATGTATGCCCTGTAAGTTAAAGAAAAAAATTAAGATCAAAATGATTTTATTTACAGACAATAGACATTAATTTTCAGGGTTCTATGTGATAAAACACTAAAAGAACTGGCTAATTAAGAACCCTAAAGAAACGTAACATTACTAAGTCAAAGAGCATGGACAGCCTACAGCTTACTTCAGTATACTTCAATAATCATGGAAACGAAGTACCATAGCTTTTAGGTTTTTAGCAGTCAAACTAGAGTCAAGAAGGTACTTTGAGATGAAGAGTCAATGAAAGTCCCCTGAACACTACATGTAAAGTAGAGGAAAGTTTCAAGAGATTAAAACACCTGAGAACATTCACAAACACATTTACATTAAGCTGTTTTCAAATTAAAACATTTAAAAAATGTCTTTTACAATCTATAAATACAGTCGTGAAAATGTATCTTAACATGAATGTTTCTGGAACAATGGAAAGTCTAAACATCACCAGACAAATAGAAACACACATACAAGATAAGTCAACCCATTTATGGTGAAAATCGGCATAACAAACCCATTTTTACTAAGCCCCAAGTATCATCATTCTCTCTCCCAAATATTTGTGGCATTGTGGCATCCTAATAATTGTAATAAATGAGTACAAACAAGATGAGATGATAGGCCAGGAATTGATGCAGGGCAGGAGGGGTGAGGGCAAGGCAGAGGAGGGGCTTCAACCCACATGGAAACCTGCTATTGCAGAGGCTTCCTAAATATATACATCTATAAAATGAGTTTAAATGGATTTGCCCTATTAACCACTTACAGGGCATTTAACTTACCCTGTAAGTGCAGGGGCATTGCAGGCTATCAAACCAAAAAGCCCAGTGCCAGGTATGGGTTCAATCTGTTGGTCATTTGGGTCCTATAGAGTCCCCAACACAATATAGGCTATTGTCATTACTCTTGGTTACCTTCCAGAATTGGTGGTAAGAACCTGTTGCTGAAAACACCATATAGCTGAGTAACTAAGACACTAAGAAATCAAGCTAGTGCTGACCTGAATACTTTCCCTTTATGGCCTCACGTTCACAGTACTGAAGGCGCTATGCGTGCTATCAGTGGAGAAGTCATCAACAATCTTATCTAGTTATGAACCCCGTGAGTTATAATAAGCACGAGCCTGGCAAGATAGGCCCATTGGTCTAACACTGGCTTGAGTGTTGTGGGAACAACCAACTACTTGTTGGATTTACGGCCTGTTCCCCAAGATAGAACCCATGCCTGGTACTGTTAACTAGTTCAAGTACCCATGGTTGGGTAAGTCATAGGCCCTAAGGGGAAGCCAACTTCTACTATTCTGCTAACTGAGCACAACATTAAACTGCCCCCCAACCTCCCAACCCCCCAACCCCCACCCCCCTGCCAAATACTTATCTTCATACCCACAGATCAGAAGCTCTCATCCCTCTTCGGAGAAGCTTCTGTTTGCACTAGATGGTGATTAACAGTGACTCACCGATGGTCAAAGTACAGATAATGAGAGAGAAATCGTCCTTCCTCAAAGGCCACAGAACATCTTAAAAGATGGTGCAGTAAGACTGTAAGAGCTGGGGGCAATGGAGGATGTTTGTGAAACTGTCTTTCCTAATTATGACACACAGGGACTCACAGCAGCCACTGCTAAGACTTGCACAAAATCAAGCCAGTGAAAATTCAGTTTAGACCAGGGAGGGCCTCGCTGAGGAGCTCCTGGCAACTGAGGGATGCTGTGAGAGGGTAAGTCCCTGTTCTTCTGACGCAGCCCCTAAGAGGCTGCCCATGCTCCAGCGGATAGCCCTGTGCCCATGCACAGAGTACCAGCACTGAGTGGCCTCAGTGGGTTTTTAAAGAATCGATGAAATCTGGAGGGAAAGTGGTAGTGTGGGCACGAGAGGGGCTGGAGGGGAGGGAGCAGAGGCACTGATCAAAATGACCTCATGAGCTAGAGATGGTTCAGTGATTAAGAGCACTGCCTGCTCTTCCCGATGACGGAGGTTCAATTCCCAGCACCCACCCACACAGCACCTCACAGCTTTCTGTAACTCCAGTTCCAGGGAAGCTGATGCCCTCTTCTGACCCACACAAGCATTGCATGTGGATGGTGAACATACATACATGCAGGCAAGACATTCATACACATAAAATAAAGATAAACAAACATTAAAAAATACATCCATGTATAAAATTCTCAAACAATAAAGTTTTTAAAAATAACTGACGATGTGTATCACAGTAATGAGAGGATCAGTATGTTAGCCAGTCATTCCACAAAGAATACAACCCTGGCAATAACAGAAACCTAAGATGTCATTACCCAAGTCTGCAGAAACTGTAAGCCAACTGTCTTGATAGATATTTTGTAAGATGCAGAAATGTGGTATTATTAAACCACCCATACCTTTCATAATTAATCAGAATCCCAAAGGTATCCTGTCACACTTAACTTATAAAACATGACAGTGGATTAACGTGCTCACGTAAGTATTCTCAGCACTGCAAGGTAAAGAAGGCATCACTAACTGGAGGATGTGACT